CCGTCCTCTTTGCTCCACTTCATCAGGAAGCTGGACAGGAACTCCACCGGTCGGCTCTGAGGCAGTGAGGACAGGTAAGGATTCATGTTTACACCTTGTCGTTTGTTCTCCCTTCCTGTCTTACAGCAGTTCTCACCTCGTTCTGTCTGCTGAGAGCCGTAAGTCCTTCGGTCAGAGCCTGACTGAGTTCCCCACACACACCAAGGGTATCGAGGGAAATGTTCTCCCACAGGAAGAGTCCTAGAAATGAACCTGACATGAGTTTAAAGCTTAATCGGAGTAAAGCTGTGTCCTGATTGAGTTCAGAACTGACCCAGAGCTCTGCCTCTGGCTTGTAGACTAGCCTGTTGAAGCTGCAGCTCCAGGGACTTCCTCAGCCGGACCAGAACCTCCTCCATCCATCGGGCCTGTCTACACCAGCCCAACAGCACGCTGTGAGTCACGTAGCGTAGAGCTGGAGCTGCTGGGTCCTGGTCGCCACCAGACCACTCGCTTAGGACTGCGAGTGGCACAGTACATCAACGACGACAAGAAACTGCAAGCAGAGCTCGACTTTAGGAGTAACTCACTGTTCTGGAAACTTCCTGTGGCAAAACCCAAAGGAGCGCGAACTTCCAGACCAGTCAGATCGGAGAGACTCCACATCAGAGCGAGTCCCGACACTGTGACAAGTCCAATCACGAGCTTAGACCTTAGAATTACTTGAGAAATTAAAATGTTTGAAAATTCAAACAGAAGTTGTACCAGATGCAGCCAGCGGGCAGAAAATATCAACCCCGCCTCCTTCCTGACCAGGTGCCACCAAGCCACACAGTTTTACCCAGAATTCCCGGTGATCTGGGGATGATAACGTCCTCTCAGACAGAACACTGCCTAAAAGATACGGAAATTAGAAATACCACTCAAAACACAACTCATTCTTTGTTAGTAGCAGCTAGAAAGAAACGCACAGTCCTATGGTTCCTAGGAAAGTAAGTAAATGAGTGACATAATTTTGCAATCTATGCTTACTGACTCCACAGTGATCAGGCTGAAACTGATGGTGGATTGTAACCAATCTAATTAATTTAGCCTCAACCAGGAGGGCTGGCAGTGTACGTTTGAGCATCGTATTCCCCAATCCAACGTCTTTCTGTTTGGCTTTCGAACCGGTCAGAGGAGTGCCAGAAGCAAAGGACGTGGATTAGCAGTTCTTGCAAACAAATGATGGCGTCATCCTGAACGTATTTCTGTCATACAGCCATAGTCTTCAGTAAGTGGATACATCTTAATGGTGATATAATACTCACTACAGTATCACTGAGATGATTGGATGACAAAAAAAGGAACTAGAATGGCTTTTAAATGGGTTGGCTTTAACTGTCTGAATAAAACCTTAATAATTAAGCCCATAACTGAATAAAATCAAGTGAAAAATAAGCACCTGCAATTCCTTTGCTCTGGGTATTCCACCAATGCAAGAGAAAATGTTTGGTTCTTCTTTCAGCCGGAACTCGGACAGACAAATATGACCAACTGATTCTTAATGAAATCTCACCATTAACCAGATGAACCTCCTCTGTCCCTCCTGGAACCAAAAGGCCGAGCCTTTGCACTCGCTGCCCTGAAGTAGCTCTCTCCATCTGGTTGAAGAGAGCCGAGAGAGTCCATCTATGGTCATACAGGACCACGGCCACTCGGGCCTTCACACCACTGAGCACCACCTGAGATCAGGAGATGGAGGGAGCCAAAGGACATCTTCTCAAACCTGCACTCCAATGGAAACCTGAACGTTTTTGGGGTTTCTTTACCTCATAAGCAGGAATTTTGTTGGAGATGAGCAGCAAGATGGCAGCAGAGTCAATGAGGGGGAGAGAAGTTGGCGCCGTCTTCGCCTTGGACAACCTTTTACAGCAAAAGAACGACATAGAAAGCAGAATCAGTTCATAACCTTTCAACATGTGACCCATTTTCATAGTTTAATGCGAAAAGGATTACGTTGGCGTGGATGGCAATCCGAACTCTGTTTCAGTAGAAGCTGGAACTGAGGAGCCTTTGGGTTGAGATGCAAAATGTCTTCAAGAAACAACAGAAGTCTGGTTCACGTCTACTTCACCACTTGGGATTGAAGCTGAAGAGTTCTGAAATTGTAGGATGTTGTATTTCACTGAAACTTCATCACCTGCTAACTTCATCCAGGTGTCGTCTTCTGTGTGGACTGAGACTGGCGGTTGGAGACTCAACCTTCTTCATTGGCGAGGAGAGAGAAGACCAAGACCTAACCAGCAACTCTGAGCTGGACAAGACAGTCTGTGACCTTTCACCTCTGGTTCTGTCAGACTTTGGGTTAGAACCCCATGGTCTCCTGCTAATCAAGGCCAGTCCTGTTAGATATCACAGACCTAAACCGTCAGAACAGCTGATGAGAAGTGAGACGTTTACATGTCAAGGCAAAACTCAGTTTGACAAGTAATTTTATGTTCGACAAGACCGAAAAACAAAATGATACATATGATAAAGTTGTTGCAATCTACTGTATGTACTAAATTTGTCTCAGCCTGCCACCTTTGCACCTGTGTTCACATTACCCCCACTTCCTTCAGTCACTCAGAACCTCTACTCACTCTTTTCCTCCTTAAGGGCCTCTTTGAGGTTCTCCCTAATCCTCTTCTCCCTGCTCCCCTCCCCTTCCTCCTCCTTCACCCCCAGGCGTGGCTGGTGGAGGGTCCCATATATCTCGTCCGCTTCCAGAGGAGATAGCCGGTCCGCAGTGGAGACGCACGAGACATAGTGGTTCCTCCAGGCTCCAAACTCCTTGTCTCTTGGCGCGTAGGGAAGGAACCAACCTCTCTTGATACACCGGCCGGCCCAGAGACAATCCTGATAGGAGACACGAGGGAAGGTACGTTAGCCATTCGCTAAACATGCACAACAACTTGAACACTTTGTTTCATGTGCAACAACATGAATTGATGATGTTACACATGTAGGGATGGACTGATGGATGGGCTGGTATCATAGTCTAGAAATGGTTTAAGACTTTCTGTTTAATTTCAAATGTCTTGTGAAAAACTTCCATCCTGGAATATCCACTCACCTGTTCTGCCAGGACCCTCCAGTGCCAGCTGACCTGGGCGGCACTGCAGAGCTCCCGGGGGGACAGGAAGGACATGATGTAGAGGGACAGACACCGAGGCAGCACAGCCGTGAAGTCCAGCCGGGTTACAGGAACCAAGTCATTGAGCAGGTTTCTGCAGTGCCTGGGTTCAGCAACAGGACCAGACTGCAGGCTCAGGGTAGGACTTTACAATAACACGAATGAAGTGTTGGAAAGAACCTTACATAAGCTGCGCCTTGGTGCAGCGACTCAGCAGGGCCTGCAGGAGGCGCTTCCTCTGGGGGTCCGTCCACAGATCAAACCAGTGCAGCAGCAGCTTCACACGCTCCTCAAACAGCTCAGATCAAACAGGAAGCAGACGGAAAATGAAGATATCTAGTCACAGCCAAACACTCTAAGGAGGGGCATCTGGACTTTGACTACACCATTTGTTGAATTATTTGGAGGAATGACACTCTAAACCCAGCATCCATGGTTTGTGAGGTGAAATGTGAGATGTTTTAATTTCATAATAATGTTTATAGAACCAGGTATTTTAAGCAAGAGTTTTTAATTACACTTTGATGTATGGTATGAGGTATATTGCCAAAAAAAAACAACATACAACAATTTATTCTTTCCTGAAATAAAAATCATAGACAAAGATGTAAGGTTGAGAAAAATTCTTGTTTTCACAAAATGTACAAAAATTCACTTCAGATTTTGTTTGTTTGTTATGATTACACATCTATATTCAGCCTAATTTGAGATAGATGGTGGACCATATTTTTCATTTTTACACCAGGCAAGAATCCAACATTTGTTGACGTGATCAACCAATTTCCAATTTCTATGCAAAAGAATGGATATAAATATAGTCATTTAGTCAGATTCAAATTCAAACGTGTCCCTTCCAGTTTGATATCTAAATCCAGGCTTAGTTTAAAATGCTAAAGGAAGCCAAATTGATTTCATTAAGTCATTGCAGCCAATGGCTTTGTCCAAGAAACAGACAAGGACTTGACTTTACTGTGCACACACAGACCCTGACCAAGCTCTGCACTGGTGGCAACCAACTACCTTTTGTTGAATCCTGTTTGGCAGACACATGAGATGAAGTGAAAGAACTACCTGCAGGTTGCTCTGCTTGTTGCCCAGGGGCGTCCAGCTGCTGAAGCGGGTCTCTCTCGTCAGTTTGGGGCCCGCCTGCGGCTCCTGGTCCGGCCCGCTGTGCTGCCACAGCTTCACCGAGTGAGGAGCGCCTGCGAAGTCCATCACTTGAAGCTGTTTCCTGCAGGCCTACTGAAGCCAAGTGGATCTGTGTGCAGGGAGAAACCATGGAGACGAGTCAACAAAGGATGAGGGCATTCCTTTACACAGCCCATCCCATCCTGAGCCTTAATAACTGTGTCTCTTTTAAAACTAAAGCAGTTCAAACTTTAAATGGAACTTAAAACTTATTACTATAAAAGCTCACTTTTATTTCAAGTAGTTGGTTTCCTGCACTATTTTTCAACATATTTCAAAATCTTTCAATAAGACTCTGAGGTCAAACTCATTGTTCTGTTGTCACACCCAAAGATGTACATAAATGAACTTGTTACTCGTTAATTTGTTACATAACTCACTTCCACACTTCTATTAATACTTACAAACAAAATTTGTGTGATTAATGAGGTTAACTTATTCCTGTGTAAGAAGTACTGACATTGAAATGCTTACAACTGCATTTTGCAGATGCTGGTGCGTTTTACTGTCAGTAAATACAAAATTCTTGTCCTTAAAAGTCATTGTAATAGTACAAACATTGTACCCCAGAAAAAGTATTTAATCAAAAGCACCAAATTATGACATTCAACAATATAATGTATGTTATTTTCTGACATACAGGGCATAAAATACACACACACACACACACAAAAATAAAAATTCACCCTTTTGTTTTTTTAAAGATCTTTATTACAACTGACTTTGAGAAAAAAATACTTTCTTACATGACATGACATTTATTAAATCAATAAAAATAAAATCAAGCAAAAGGCTAAGTGTGAAAACACCCCCATCTAGTGGTTAAAATTAAACATGAAAAAAATCTGATCCAGTCAGGTAAACCAGTGTTTGCCAACCCTGGTCCTCAAGGCATGTGTTTGGCATTTCCTTGCTTCAGTCCAGCTGATTTCAATTGATGACTGATTAACAGGCATTTGATGAACTGCAATCAGTTGACTCAGGCACATTAAAGCAGAGAAACCTCTAAAACATGCAGGACAGTGTACCTTGAGGATCAGGGTTGGGCTGATGTAAACACGGCAAACTAATAAGGCAAAAAGAAACAAAATAAGGCATGGCTGTGATGTTATCATTTGGATTTGTGATTATTCTTCCAGCATCAAACTGACCCGTCAGAAACATTTTGCATGTTCCATTCAAACTCTGAATTCACTGAATTTTAGTTGAGCTAGTTTTATATACCATCTTTGTTGTTAAATCTGAAGATGAAATGATAACAGTCTTATCTTTTCAATGAAAAATAAGAATCTGGTGGGTTATAAACCTATGCTGCTTTCACAAATGACAGGATGCACCAAATATGTAAAATATAATCAATCTGGAGATCTTTGATCTCCGTGCAACTTTCTTACAAGTATTATACAATAAATAGAAAACATAAGTACCTTATCTTTAATATAAGAGACATAGCACTGTTAAACCCATCGTTTTGAGCAACTGACTGGTGCAGTGAAGCTAATCTGAAAATACATTCGACCTCAGGCGAACTTCCTCCAACTCCGCCTTGTTGGATTGCCTACACGTGGTTTCAGGAGAGGTAATGTGGGAAAGAACCAAAGTCACACGGCGGCCATCCTCGGGATTTCTTGAGTGTCCGTTAGGTTCAGCTTCTGGCTGGAGGGGCGGAGTCAAGAAGAGGAACAGGTTCTCAAACTCTTCCTGTCTTCCTCTCACGCTGCTCAGACCAGACATCAACACAAGCTAATGGATTCAGATGAAACTTAAGCCACAAGTACCCACTAGAAATACAGTAAGTAGAATGTTTAGACATTTGCCTATGCAGCGGACCGCCACCTATTCATGTTTCAGTATTCATGATCGTCTGCAACTTTTAAAGTGTTGCACAAAGAAAATCCGAGTGAGGCGAGAGAATCAACCAGGTTACGCAAAACAGAATTTGATCAGATGTTGACATTACAAATGGCTGCAATGAACAATTAGTAGAGGTTTCTACACATAGTGGGACAATGGAGGGAGTTTTTCAGCAATGTGTCGCTCTTGGGCAACTTGTCATTGTCATCAACTCGGCAGCTGTAAGCATTTTTACAGGGCTTCTGAACTATTCTTGCATTTTACTAATTCACCAATGACTGGAGGTCTTTATTGCTGTCTTGGGTTTACAAAAGCTAAGCTTCCTTTGCCATATCAGTTTCATTATGCCTTCATGATGAGTATTCAGGTATCTTTTGTTGTGGAGACAATTGTTTTGAAATATCGAGATAACTAAATGCCTTTTGTTAAGATTAAAGTTTAACTTCCTTTTTAACTTGGGGTGGTAAAACCTCAAATGTAGTTTTGTTGAAATAAACATTTGCATTTCAACAAAAGGAAGAAGGACCAACAGTTTCTAACCATTGCAAATTCATTCAAGAATTTACTTTGTGTCCACAAAACGGATGTTAAATCAAAATCCTTTAAAAGGCAAGAAGGAAAAACAACTTTTCGGAGAGTTTTTCATGTGAAAAGGATACATGGAAGAACTGAGCTCCTCGAGCTGTGGAGACAAAACATTTATTTAACATAATAGATATTGCGAAACTAATATATTTGCACTTGCTGATGAATAAGTAGCTAAATTTGAAGGGCATAGTATCCATTACCATCCAGAGTAATTTGAGAGTTTCATCAGCAATAATTCAGGAGTTGAACACCTCTATGCACCACTGCTTTAAGGTTTGGGATCAAGTTCAAATATTATTTTACACTGAAAGAAAGCAATAAATTATGAGAAAATATGTGGGAGCGCAAGCTTGGTGGCCCATCAGGCTTAAAATGCATTGTGGGAAACTCTGGACGCATAACCATGGCAACAGGGTGGTTTACAACAGGGATCAGCTGATCAACTAACCATCCTCTTCATGAAAAACGGGTGTCTTCAGTCAAGAGGGGTCTTCAAATTCGCTGTAAGATTTTTCCTGCTCACACCTCACCGTCTGCAATAGCTAATTAAGTGAATTACATTTAATTTCTCTTTCGGATTAATAAATTAGATGTGAATTTGAATGGAATGTATGTCTTCCTCTGAAACTGTGCAGGATTGTAAGAAATTGCAAAAATTCTTGCAGTTGCCTTGGTACACCACAGTGATCCCAAACATTTAAGTAGAAGCTCTTGAGAGATATGAGTAAAATTAGATTCATTGAATTTGAGCTGTTTAAAAATTAGGCGCTTCATTAAAAAGCAAGCAGCCTCACGTTAAAAAGCAGCTTGTCCATGTTGGTGTCGGAGGCCGTTTTCCACTGATCCTCAGGCATTTTCTCGACTTCGGCATAAAGGTCAAAGTGCAAGTGTGCCAGCTTCTCCTGCATCTCTCTGATCTGTTCCATCTGATCGATGGAGCACTCGTTGCCTGAGACAAGACGGGATCGTAGCGGAATATTAGAATATATTTGTATCAAACCTGCAGGGTTCTTCCGCTGTGAGCTTACCAAAGGCCTGTAGCTTTCCTGAGTGGAAGTCGTTGAGCAGACTGAGCAGACCTTTCTCCATCTCCTGGACATCGGAGACGTCTGTCAGGAAAGAGTGCTGGATGACGGGTGCTGCCTGGCCCTGGGTCTTATTCCCTCCCACAGCTTGTGGATATCTTGCCTTATTATCTCTCACTCCCCTGCATTGATAATAATAAAACATACATTTTATTGATTTTTTTTTTCTTATTTCTGAGAATATGGAAGACTACCTCCTGCTCTTATTTCTTTGGCTGGAGATGCTCCCCATGCCGGCATTCCTTCCCCGGGAGGAGGAGCTGTTCCTCCGGGATAAGCCTCCAGTCTGAGCCGCAGGGTTGGTGGAGCTCCGGCTGCCCTTGCGCTTTAGCTTCCGATCCTCCATAGCTTCATAATACGTTCTCTCTCACCAGCTGCAGCTAACACCGACAGCGGGCAGCAACCGGTTAGCTGAGCTAAACCAGCAGATAACAAGTTAGCTTAGCATGTAGCTGTCCCGTTAGCCCCGAGGAGAGCTAACGGAACTATTTGGCGTTGAGATAAAAACCGGCAGCAACCGGTCAGCTGAGCTTAACCAGCAGATAACAGGTTGGCTTAGCATGTAGCTGCTCCGTTAGCTCCGAAGTGAGATAACGGAACTATTCAGCGAACTCACGCCGAATAACATTACAAAACAGCGAATATAAAACACGGAGAATTAAAAGATTAGCCGAATATTTGAATATTTCACGCTTACCTCTCTAGCTACGTAGCTCACGGCTGCAACTTGCAGAAAAACTTCCTGTTCGGACGCCGCGAGCCCGACCAGGCTGCGTTCCAATTCGCTCAGGACGATTATCTGCGTCAACCCGCAACCTGTTTGCGTTCACGCCACCTGCGCTGAAAACGAGGGCGTTTAAATGTTCATGCGACCGACGCTGAAAGTGTATTTATGGCACTTGTAATACTTGTGCACTTGTAAAGGACTTTCGTCTCCTACGATGAAAAAGAGTCCAGCAGGACGAAGCTGAACGCTGCCCAATAATCAAGTCCATTACGAAACTGTTTATGTATCCCCAGGTAAAATTTTGGCTTTTTTTTTTTTTGTTTACTATAGGTCAACTTGCTAGCGATCACCTTCATGCTATGGTTAGCATGACAGCCATTACCTTAACTTGTTAGAAAAGTTAATGTTATAAACTGCAGCAAATGAAAACGTTAAAACATGCACAACAAAACTTGAGGAATTACAGGAAGCCATTTTTTTATACATGGCAGCATGTGTTGCAATTCTACTAATAGGCTGCAGTGGCGTTCAGACACTGCTAGAGGGCGCCACACGAACACAAAATAGAGATTCCTAATTCCTCCTTTATGTACTTTAATAACTCAGAAATCACTACAGTTGAAAAACGTACTTGAGTAATCAAATTAAAAGTGCACGAAAAAAATACCAGGTAGCAAATAACACAAAAAATATAATTTATTTCAATCAACAGAATTGAAATTGTTTTTGGGTTTGTTGTGGAAAATGGACCAATAAATTATCGTAGATACAAAAAAAAAACAATTAGTATAAGAGGCCCACAGCTTCTACTTTTTTTTAGGTTGATATTTTTGTCTTTTTTGGGCTGTAGGGTTTGCTTTGGGTGAACGCAGGTAATAACTGTGATTTCAAAATTACAATTTATCAAAAGAGGTGGGGAAGTTTGCGTCTGCATCAATCAACTGTGCTTACAGGTCAGATTTGGTCCAGTCCAGAACTGAGTAAATTCTGGATTTACGTGTGTGAAACTCGAGGCCCGGGGGCCGAATACGGCCCATTCTAACCATGAAGGCGGCCCTCTAAACTCCACATGACATCAACAAGTTCTTTCAGTTTTTCACATATCTGCAAAATCCACACAAAATAAACAAATCTCCACATTTTCTTCTGATTTCACCGCATATTTTCTCGAAATTGGTCAAAAACATTGAGTTTAAGTGACTGCAGCCTTACTTGATTCTATATAAAGTTGCCAGTAATAAAAAGTCACACTTAACATCATACATATCAAACATATTAATGTACAAATATAGAATTTATTTATTTAACACATTTTGCACAAACATGACTTTAAAGGTCTGGGGGGGAAAAAGGTAATTACTTTTATATTTCCACCAGCTGAATAGGATGGAGGCAGAGGATCTGAATTTGACAAATTTTTGTGGGATGCAGAGAGCCTTAAATGTGAAAATTCATCCAAATATCGTGTCCCGAATATATTTTTGTGGCTTATTTACTAAAAAGCTCCTAGATTTCCTGCTGAACAGTGGGATATCGGTGGTTTATCTCCCGCTGAGTGAGGTGAACCGGGATAAAATGTTACAGATGAAAACATTTAGACCGTCGCCTCCATACAGCCATTAACTCGCCGAAAACAAACACACTCGCACACACACCTTTTCTCTCGTCAGTAATTGCAGTGTATGCGCTGTTTGGAGAGCCTGTCGCTGCTCCCCGCTACTTCCAGTCAGTTCATTCTTTCCTCGTGTGCACGGCTGCTTTAATGATGCGTTCGGAGCGGGGACGACATGTTTAATTACACGCCTCGCCTTTCTGCGACGCGCACGCGGAATCGTGCCGGCACTTTCCCCAACAGCCGCCGAGTGAAAACCAGGCTCTTTGATGCGCAGCCTGCTTGTTCCCACACAGGAAATCTGTGGGTTTGCGCCGCAATCGGTGCAAGCAAATGTCAACTCGGTCAGGAGTGAACGCAGGGGGAGCAGGCCTGATGTGGCCTTAACCTGCACGCAGAGGGAATTTGGAGGATTTGCATCGAAATTCAACGTCCTTCCATTAAAACATGAAAGCATATATAATCATGTGAATAAATAGGGAGGTATTGGATAAGAATAGGACTAAATTTGATTGAAATTGGACATTTTGAAAGTGGAACTAAAGCATTAAAAATCATTTGGCATATCTGGCCAGGTGTTTTAACGCTGATGTGTCATCAGTACTCTGGTGTCAAGATATTCCACAAAATGCGTTTCCGTTTTCTGTTTTTCATCTGCAAAATAAATAAAAAAATCTCAATGCGGATAAGTAAAAACTCGGCATAACTCAAAGCTTTAGGAACAACACTCTTCAGATTATGTCAAACAAAATGGCTCATTTGTTCTAAGTTGCTTTTTTTTAATTATTCTTTTACTTCATGTTCATAAAAATGTTTTGAAGGATGCGATGAACAGAATTAATCCGGATTTTTAGGATTGATTTGAAGAATTTGGTTTCATACTTTTCATTCCGGGGAGTAAATATGATGTGATGTACAGAGGCTGCATTCTTCAAAATGGGAATCAGAGGCAAACAGCAATTTCCCTTTTTGACTTGGTTAATATTCTGCATCTGGAGAAGCAAAAACAAAACGTTGAGGGCTCAAAAATAAAGTGCCCCCCTACCCCCGCCTCCTCCCAGTGGCCGCTTCCTGTCCTCCCCTCGCCACTCTATAGAGGGTCCAATTGACATTTGGCCGTCCTCTGCCTCCAGGGGGTCCAGGAGATGCAGACGTTTTTGGCAGGCAGGCATAGTGAAGCCTAGGGGTCCTGACAGGGGACTCCTGGACTAAGAAGAGAAAAAAAAAAGACAAACAAAAAACAAAAACTGAATAAATAAAGCAGTTGCTAACTCCACCCGCAGTTCGAAACACTCATATTGTCTTCGGGGAAATCCGTTAGTAAACACAGAGACACAAAGCTAACAAAAGCTCAGGGACGTTTTTTTGCACCGTAGAGTTAATTTCACTGAGGCTCTGTAAGAGTCATATGAATGACATAAGGAATAACTGATATGACAGGAGCACGAGGCTTTGACATTTTGCTGGTGGGCGTGTCAATGTGGGCGTGGCTGTCACTAAGTATGAATGGGAGGGTCACTGGCCTGCTGGCTTGCGGTGTGTGAGGAAGCGGGCAGCTCAAGTCCTTGTAAAGTTTGGAGCATGACGGTCATCGAAATGGAACAAATCGATAATTGTGACAGAATGAAGACGTGGCCTGGAGAAGAGCGACATGAGGTTCCAAGAGTGAACCCAGTGCGTCTCTCTCCATTACTTTATAGTAATAAAACGTGTTTATTATTATTCACTCTTTGGTGCAAAAAACAGATCAGTATTATTGCAAAAGCAAATGTTTCCCTGAAAGATCGGTGTCTATTTACAGTAGGTTCATCCAGATGGATGGTGCAGTGTGCCGCCGTCCCCTTTGACCTCTCTCCACTCTAATCGGAGTGATAATACGCCGGTCATGGAGGCAGTGGCGTTTGGTGGGGTGGGTGGCGGGACGGAGATGTGGGGGCTAATTGCGGGGTGTCGTCGCACGTTCGAGTGGCGCTGCCCACCGTTTTCGCCTCAACCGTAATTACCTGGCAGCGGCCGCAGATGTTTCGCGCCATTGTCGAGCATCCGCGGCTGGACGGACGGACGGAGAGATGCTGGGGGGAAGAGGGGAGGGCAGAGAGTGAAAGAGTGAAAGACAGGCGGCTCTGCCAAGCAGCTGCAAACTTCTGCACACATGCAAAGAAACGGCAAACAGACCCCCCCGTCCCACACACACACACACACCCGCACGAACGCACACACACTCACGCACACACACACACAGACACACACACACACCATTTATTCATCACCATTCTTTTATTCATCTCTTTCAATCCATTATCAAAGCAAGCCTTTTATATCTGCACCTTGAGTGTTGATAGCTGATAATAATTTGCGTGTGTGTGTGTGTGTGTGTGCAGGGTGCAGCCTCCCCACTGAGGCAGAACAAAGTAGCGTAATAACTCAGACACTGAGCTGACCCTCTCTGCTGCTCTCAAGTACACTTAATGGAGGAGTGTGTGTGTGTGTGTGTGTGTGTGCGTGTGTGCGTGTGCGCGCGCGTCTTGTACATATCTCAGTCGGCTGCGTTTGAATACGACTGCACGCACGCACCCAACTGTATGTTTGTGTGTGTTCAAATTACTGATCCCTCCAGGGGTGAATTGTTATGGATGCTGTTCTGTTCAAATTACAGTTATTTGTTTCCTTTAAAACAAGCTAATTGCTGCATAGCCGCTCACTCGCTTGCGCGTGCGCGCGGACCTGTTCCCTTCCTTGTTCATTGTTTGTTTGTGTCGCATTGCAGACCCCTCCAATTTCTTTAGCATGGACACGTTTTCACTCTGGCGACAAACTCATCCTGCTGCAGCTGCTGGGCTGCAATTTGACTTTTTGGCCAACTGTTTTTGTTTTTTTTCCCCCCAACACTAAGCGCCTTCTCAAGTGCTTAAAATTGATCCATTTTCTGCCTTTACTTAAACAACCAGAATGGAACAAGTGCCTCTGAACAACTATTCGACCTTCTCGTTTATTGAGTAAGCAAAAGATGAGACGGTTATTACTCGACCACCGTAAGACGTGTCTTTTGGCCTGCAAGTTATCCACAGAACTAGGAGTGCTGTCATTAATTTGGCAGGTTTAACTCCTATTGGGACGATAGGTTCCACAGAAAAATGAGCAAGTAGGTAAATCCATGAGTTCGCATCGCGAACCATGACCATAACAGGACATGTCTCCAAAAAGTTGCCCTTAAAAATGGAAATATTGACCAACATATTTGACTTGCATTTGCTTGACGATTATAATCAATTGATTATCATTGATGACTGTTTTTATGATACAAAGCACTTTGAAAGGCCTTGTTGCTATACAAATGATTATCATATTGGTAAAAGGATTCGTCGCTGGCCACAGAAACTCATCTCGATACCTGCTCTAGTTATGACGAGCTTTGGGCCTTGCCCTTTTGTAGTCTGATATCAGAAAAAGCAAAGGCATT